ACTAAACGCATTCTACTAATGGCACTTCTTCTGACGGCAGAATGGAATGAGCTACTACAAGCAACTGAATTATAATGATGATATCTTTTTCACATCTAAATAAGATATATCATATCTTTTTTTATATTTAATGAGTGTATTTCCATGTTCATCTTATTTCTCTGTTGGGTGAAAAAGCTCTGAACCCGTTTCGTTTACAGCTGACAAATGTCTTATTCCTAACTTTTTTTTTCTTAAAGGGGTGATGAACTGAGAAATCAAATTTTCCTTGAGCTTTTGACATCTAAAAGGTTATCATATTATAAGAATATACTGTAAGTTTCAGAATTGAAAACATGTTAGTCCAATAAAAGCTTTTATTAACACCAGCTCAGCAAAAACTCGTTTTTCAAAGTGGGGAACTATGACGTCAAAGAGGATAAAACACCACCCCCACAGAAGAAGATCAACGTCTACTACTTCAACACGGCCGGTTTAGCCCCGCCCACCGATTTGTGCATTACATGCATAGCTAACTAACATAGGCCTACCATGATGACAAACCGGATCGAGAATGAAACTCATAATATGCAAAACTGTTCTCTACTCACAGCAGTGGGCGTTGACTTCCGAGTCCTCAATGTGAGACCGACGCCCACAAAAACCGAGCGTTTTTGAGCTAGGCTCAAAACTAGGGTAGAAAATAGCGTATTACTTCTTCATTTTTATGTTTTTTTACTGTAAAAACCAAACGAACGTCACAAGTTGACCTCAGACAATAATATAATTTTTTTTTAAAAAGCCAGTTCATGACCCCTTTAAAAATACCTGGTTAAACTGAGAGAGGTGATACAATTTACTCTCTCAAATGAATTCTGTGAATGAACCCTTGCTGTGCTACTAAACAATGTGTTAGATTATAGTAAAAATAAGATGTTTTTATCATGCAACTTACCTTTTGGGAACAGATTATGCACAACTGATACTGTCACTAGCTTTAGGAATAGAGGTAGAGAACGAGATGTGATGCTAAGGGGGATGTGGATTCATAGTTGCAATGTGAAGAGGCCAGGCCAGTGAATCGAAAAACATTCTTTGAACAGACACAAGGACATTATTATGACATAAACGTGTGTCTTAGCAGGAGCGGATATTGCAAAAATTGGGCAAGAGAGCAAACTGTCACCATGCAAGTTCAAAAAGTCAATCTAAACTATTCTACTTAGACAACAAGACAACAGTCCTTCAGTTCCAGATGTAGGTTAGTTGATTTAAACAAAGGTGACCTTTGACCCTTAAGTCTTAACGTTTCAAAACGGACACATAACTTGAAATGTTCTATCTGCTAGAATTATGAATCAGCTTAGCTCACAGCAAATAATGATTTACTGACCTTGGTTTAGCTATATCAGTCAAAATTTGTACATATCTCATTGTTTATTTTCATGAACAGCCATCGCTAGAAGGGCGAAAGGTGGTGGTGATGATTTTAGGGTCAGAACTGAGAGATAAGTTGCAATTAAATTTATAATTAAAAACTTTTTTATTATTATGAAATCCATAGTGTAATATGGTTGATTGGGGTTAGCCAGTATAAATTACAATAGGCCTATTCATTTTATACATGATGCTACCAGTCCCAAGTTTGGATACAAGTAGCCGAAATTTGTTCAATTCTTTCATTTACTTAATTTTGAACTGAAAAAAAAAATCACTTGCTTTAAACAGCATTTGTCCATTTGTCCAGCACGTCCCACTGATGTGCACAGATGAAGCTCCCACGCACACAGAAGTGATCTGTTCACTTGACATCTCACTTCTGTTTACCTTTACATTCTCAGTGGGTGTTTTCCAGGAAAAAATGTTAAGCCGGAGTAAGAAACCAAATCTGTAGGCCTACCTTGTTGGCGAATTAATCTGTGTAGCCTATGTCTTTCTAAAGTCTTACCTCATACATTGCAATTTAAATGCCACTATACTGTCAGCTGCTGATCTGAAATCATTTCCAGTGAAGTTAATATTAAAAGTAATGCATTGCAATATTGCATTACTCCCTGAAAAAAAGTAACTAATTGTGGTACAGTTACATTTTATGTAATGCTTATTCCGCATTTCAGTGCTTAGAAGTGTATTTGATGCAGACTTCGGCGAAGCCTACACTTTTGCACCCTTCACACGATTTACCTACACAGGAATCATTGCAAATGCCCAATCAGACAAATGAGGGGAGGAGTTTCGTGGCTGTTTGACGTTCAGTGTCATGATGTCACAATATATTCTTGCGTGGACTCAAAGGCCAGGGTTTGCACTTCCTGATGTCACCAAGTGTGAACTCGAAGGAGGTCCACAAGGCCGGAGTGTGCCATGTTTAACTAGTCATTTTTTTTTTTTTTTTATATGGCTGAATTGGATGATCAAAGGTCAGCAGCAAAGACATCGGTTAATAAATTGAGATTTAATACATAAAGTATATTTGTGTCATTTAACATATTTCATTAATGCAGGTTTGTGTAATATTCAGAGTTTGCATTGTACTGTTTTTATTCCTTTTAAATAATACGAAATTTGTTTTTGTGATGAGTAAATGCATGCTCACATTATTGTAGTCAACACTAACCATCATGTTCAGAGAGCGCACACAATGTTCTCTCAACATGGGGACAGGAGATCTGTCAGTCAATAAAGGGGAGAAGCAAGTAACTTGCATTACTTATTTGAAAAGTAACTCTTAAGTAATCTTTTACTTTACTGGTTACTTGCAAAAAGTAATCTGATTACATAATTTGCATTACCCCCAACTATCACCTTGTTTGCTTGTTATGTTGGGTTATGCTTAGTGCACTGCAAAAAATAATTGTTTACTCCTTGTTTGTAACTCTGCACACATGTGCATGCAGAAAAATTAATGGAAAAGTATTATGACTCACCGATAACATCCTTGATGTGTGTTGAGCGAGTTTCCTTTGTCCTCAACCACAGTGATTTTCAAATCCTGCTTCTGGGGGCCCTGGGGCACATTGAGAACTCTTCAACTCATCGTCGCATTTTTAGAGGCTCCATGACCTGAATTGTGTGTGAGATCAGTGAGACTCTGAAAATGTTCAGGGCTAAAGGACCCGGGGAGCTGTACTGAGAAACACTAATCTACCACCATTTGAGCTGAAATTGACTGAAACTGCTGAGCACAACACTACAATAATTACTTTATTTTAGCAAGTTCTTACCATATTTTGTTAAATAAAAATGATTATTTCCAGTAAAAGTGTAAAAAACAGAAGTGTACATCTCTAATGTAGGCCTACATTTGCATATGTTTTTTTTTATTAATACGGTATGTATCAGTGGTGTGCGATGTTGTTTTAAAACGAGCAGCCAAAACCCAAAAGTATAATATATTATTCGTGAACTAATGTTCAGCTTTTCTTTTGAATGATCAACTTATTTTCAACAGTAGGCTAATTAAGCTTCTAGACACAGATATACTTTTAACTTTCCCAATTTCAGTGCACACTAAAAAAATGACGAACCCCACTCACCATGCTTTCAGGCCATTTCTAGTTTGATTTTGACGTGACATAAAGCAGTTATATCTAAATGGCTATATTTAAAGTTGTTTACTTAGCCTACCTCTCAATTATCCTTAACTTTCTTAACCCTTAAAAAGGACAACACTTAAGGTCTTTGGGGTCATTTTGACCCTATACTTTTAAAGAGTGATTGCATAAGGAAATATACATTTTTTATATGGAAAACTATATATCATTTTTTTAAATTCACTTCTCAACTAATAATTTATGCTGTTTTTTTTTTTCCTTTTAATTTTTTTAATTTTTCTACCCATTTACTGCACAATTACATAACTAGGCCAGAAATTGGTACATAAAAATGATTTTTTGAAGAAAAAAACACTTAATTTTTTTACACACCTTTAGAACAACCGAATCGAACCCAGTTTTTTTGTGCATGTTAAGACAGATTATTAAGGAAAAGTCACTGAGTTTCATGGCCCTGAGATGAAGGGAACATTTTTAAAAAATCAAGGAAAAGTCCAATGGGGTCATATTTACCCCAAATATCGAGTGATTAAGGGTTAATTCGATTCAGAACCATTCGCAAACGCGCAAGAAAACAATAGGCGTGATTTAATCAGTTCGTGGCTGTTGGTGCCTATATACACACACACTCACCTAAATGATTATTAGGAATATATATATATATATATATATATATATATATATATATATATATATATATATATATATATATATATATATATATATATATATATATATATATATATATATATAAATCTACGTTTATCAATTTATTTTCAATTTATTGATTTGATCATAGCTTTGAAATATACTTTTTTATGTTTTTGTTTATTGTTCTCAAACTGAACTAGAATTTTGGGGCCACTTAGTGAGCTATAGTATTATCATGAATCTGACAACAAAATCTACTTACCATTAAATCAAATAAAGTTGTTTGTATTTCTCATGACAGCTTTATAATTAGAAACGCTTTTATACTGGTTGTCAATGGCGCTTTATAAACTTCAGTTTTTATCACATATGACTGATATGAGTTATGATCAAAGTCAAAGACTTATGATCAGTCAATGGCATAGGTCAATCGGTCAGTTGTAGTGAACAGAATAAATATCCTGCAGGGGGCGAAAGAGGGCTCAGAAAGCCAATCCTCAACTGAAGAGACTTTCACGGTGTTTTCTTGTTACACAATAGAGGTAAACATTTTAATATGTTACGTACAAGGATTGGTTTCTACCATGGAAATGGACATCTTCCTCATCAATATCTATAAAATGGAATGTACGAATCTTTGTAGTAATCTATGATTGGTTAATCCACACCAGCGCTGAGAAAAGGAACAGTGAACACGTGACCAAGCTTTCCGTTTTAGACGCAACCTGGATAGTTAATTACGCTTGGGAAAAAAATTACTGAGAGATTTTACATTTAATTAAAGGTAAAAAAAAAACTCAAACGATGAGTTAAAACAAGCGAATACATTTTTAAACCCACTAAACCACGCCTATCTTTGACACCCATTTCATGCTAATTGCCATTCCACCCTCTTATTCAATTTCTATGGCTCTAGTGAGAGTCAGTCACTCAGCTGGAGACTGAACCAAAGCATCAGAAGAGAGGAAGACGTGAGTAAATAAACTGCTGTGCAATCAGAAAGAGACGATCATGGCATCGATAAATCTCGGGTTTAATGGGGCTCGTAAAAAAGCTGCAGCGCGGATCAGAGCCGTGGAGAGGAGGAATCTGATCACCGTGTGCAGGTAAAATCTGATCACACATTCATCATCTGACACACTGACTGCAGCAACACACCGGCGGCACAGAACATGTGTGATGATGTCATTGTTTTTTTGTTGCAAGTTTGTTTTTGCAAATTGCTGATGCTGGATCAGGGGAGATTAGACGATGTACGTGTAGTGCGCGCAGGAGCGCCGTTCTGAGATCTGTCATCAGAGCATCACGTCATATACATGGAGTCTATAGAAAAAGTACGAGGATGAATGCTAATGTAACGTTACAGTGGTACTGACTTTACATTGTGCTACAAGATACTCCAAGAAGGCGTCTAAAACGTTTTTATCAGGGTATATGTTTTTAATTCTACAATGGAGCTATGTCCAAAATACATGGTAGCCTATTGCAATATATGCACAATAAATAAATAAAAACCAGATTGTGGTTAAACCACCATTTGGTTTTATATTACAAAATAATTATAGTTTGTGATGATTGAGTCTTAAAGGGATAGGAACACAAATTTTTGATTGAGCTTTCTGTCTATCCATTGACAGCTATGCAACTGACACTTTGACGCTTCTAAAAGTTCATAAAAAAAATCATAAAACTAATACGAAATTAGCGGTTTAGTCCATATTTTATGTAGAAAACCGAGCGCTTTATATGATATACAAAGATTGAATTTACGCTTTTATTCACATATACTGTAAACATTCATCACCTCACACACATCTGTTGTGGTAAACAGAAGCTCAAGCATGTTTGCTTGAAGTGTGAGAACCAATGAGGTTCATTCTCATGTTACGCAGCACGTTTCATCGTCAGCAAGAATCAATGAGGTTTGTTTTTCGTGTGTCAAGCAGGTTTGGTTGAGCTTGTTTATATTCACTGATCAATGTTTAAAAAAATGACTGTGGCGAATGCTACCACAGTACTATTAATTTGTGCTCCAAAGTCATGGGTTGGATCGACATTAGGGTGAAATAAAGTAAATAATGACAGAATTAAAATTTTGGGGTGAATTAACCCTTTAAAGGTGCTATATGTATTTTTTAGCGACCCCTATCGGTGAGGTTTCAGATTGCAAACAATTTTTACAAGAGCGCTCGTGCTCTTGCGCATGCTCAAACACAAGTATTAAAAGTATTTTAATATACTAGTTTAAAAAAACTAAATTACCTAAATTTGAGCAAAATGGCAAAAACGTACATGCATTCCATTCAGTGCAATTTCCAGCTGAAATGAACACTAGTGGCAGTAAAACACCAACAACTTGTATTCCTTTCTAGATAAATTATGATTACCGGGGCAGAATATCATTTAATAAAGATTTTGCTTTAATAATAACAACCGTATTCCGTTCCGAAAATAGCATTTCTCTCTTTTTTTTTTACTTGTTATATATTTTCTTTTCACAACCTTTTGAAAAAAAGTCTACGATAGGTAACACATCAGAATCATAACATTTGTATAGCTGATTATGAATAATTATGTTAATATGTGTAATTAGGCAGGGGTGCACTGGGCAGGTTTGAAGCAGGAAAAGCATCACTCTGAACACAAATGAATGTCATACCCATAAGGGGGCACAGCAGGAATCGGCCAATCGAAAGGCTCGGAGTGTGACGTAATGTGTCTACACAATCACAGTGAGACCGAAGCTCACGACAAAATAAAGCCATTTCACTGTTTGTGTCTGAGGAAGAAAGAATAGAGGAACAGATAAGCAAAATCCATTTCCTCTCATGTTTATCCTGTGATATCTGATCCTGAGTTCATTCAGGACTGAAATAAATCACCGCTGATCTATCTGAGTGATGAAGCTGTCTGTGATGTTCAAGGAATCATGAAATGAAGTTTACTTTGTGAGAAAGTCTTGAACGAAGTCTTAAATGCTATTAAAATGATCATAACATTTCAGAAGTCGAGAAATTTTGGGACCTTCTCAACTGAAATGTCAGGCTGGTTTAATCTACTTTAGATGTCACAGGATGGCTTCTCGAGACATTCAATTTTTGGACATGGTGTTATGAATATCATTATCAGATTTAATATTTTCAATGTGACCTTTCTTCAACTTTATTGAGGTAATCTCTCTCAGTGCTGTTGTGCATCATTAAATAGTTTAAGCAGTAATATTATACATTGGTGTCACATGACCTCATACATTGTATAATTTGTGCCAGGTATAGTCACAGAAATATACTTATTTTGCATTTTTTAAAGCTTTTAAATAACTTTTGGTAGTCAAGACTCATTAAAGCAACGCTGATATCAGTTAAGGTTCATTTATCACATTGGAATTGGAAGGTCAGCTTGAGCACAGGGCATTATCGGATACAATTTTCCAAGTATTGAAACTTTGCATGCTATTCCGAATATAATACCTCTCTTTGTTCAAACATAAAAAAGGTTCATTTTAATTGGTCATTTTCCATAAGTGTGGCTAGTATCACACTGTCAGTGTAATTTTTGTATTATTAATTCATATTTTAAATTAACTTTTATCATAAGACTTAGACACCACAAATACACACATAAGCTATTGGGTTATAATACTGTTGTGCATTTCATAATAGGTTTGGTTTTTGGTTACGTAAAGATGATAGTTAATCGTCTCTGGTTCAAACATCTTTTTTCACATTTGCGCTGTGTGTTTTAGAGAGAAAATGTCAAAAGTGAAATTATCTTTGAAATGACATTTGCATAAAGGCTGCTGGGTATTTGGAAGTTATAAGGAGATTCATTAAAGCTGCATACAATGAAAAGGACAGTCATTTATGCCATAATTATACATCTAATGAGATCGTAATGAGCGGCTCTAATGGTGCTCCACAAAAAAACAAGACATCTCCTTTGACTCTTGAATGCTCTTTTATGTTTTTAAAAAGCTTTATTTTAGGGCTTTACTGGAGAATCAGCGCTCTTTCATATTAGCTCTGAATTTACACTTTCTGCTGAACTCATGAGTTTTCTTTTTTTATCTGCATCAGCATGTCCAAAAGCAGTGATGTTATTGTTAACTAAAACTATTCAGAAAATCATTTTCATGTTAGCTGAAATAAAGCTGAAGTAAAATAAAATATAGATATTAGATGAAAAACTTAAACTTAAAGTACTTAAAGAAAACAACTAGACATGTCCCCTTGGCTAATAACTGAAATAAAACAAATGAAATGAATATAACGCTAAATAGAAAAATAAACGCTAAATAGAAAATAAAAGTGAATTTAAAATAATAATAAATACTATAATAGAACATAAATAATACTAAAATAACACTGCCAGATCATTCTGCTCATTCAAAGTGTACAAAGACATTCGACTGACAATTGATTTTGGTCGAGTGTGTGGTATTACAGTGTTATAAAATAGCCAAATCTTTTATTAGACTGATTTTTTTTGTAACTATATTTTACATGCTGAATGAAATACATAATCAACATTTCTCTCAGTTCCTATTGGCATTATTGGATTGTTCCATTTAAATATGGCCAAATCGTATGTTAATTATTTATATAGTTAAAGTTTGTTTGTGTTTTACTGTACAAGCTGTTAGACATGTTTGTGTAAGTTTAGCCTGTATTGTGCAGATTTCTGTCATTCTCATGATTGTGTGTGTGTGTTTGAGTATGCAGGTTCTCAGTGAAGACCCTCATTGATCGCTCATGTTTTGAGACGATAGACGACACATCTGCTGAGTTCATCAACTTTGTCTCCATTCTAGAACATATTCTGAGCCACAGACTGAAAGGTGAGGCAGAAAGTACACACACACTGTTTGTGTTTCACTCTGAAATAATGAACGGAATCAGGGAATCTTATCTTGACCACATTTTTAACAAACTGAACTGGACCTGATATTAAACCCTCTACTATGTATACACACACACACACATATATATATATACTGTATACTGTATTTTTCATTTGTTCTCTATGGCTTTGGCAATTGTATTTGGCAATTGTAACTATAGTAGCATATAGTTTGTCTTAAAGTGTTGTTTTTTGCTGTTGATTGTATATTGCATATAGCAAAATAGACCTTATTCAGAGCAGCGCCATGACAGAAAAAAAGCAAAAGCGAGGCCGCTTTCAATGGCATCTGCTTTAAAAATAAGTTCCTAGATTACTTATAATTTTCCACTACTGATATTGTCTGAAATTTTTTGTCCACTGACATTTCTTGGAAAGACTCTTTTACTGTGTTTTGTCTGCAGAACAGTCCAAAACCACCTTAAATAACAGTACAACCCACTAAAGAGATGACTCATTCACAGCCTCGCTTTCATTCCTGTTTAAAAACAAAGATTTGCTGCTTTGAACAAGGTCTATTGTTGATGTGTACTGTATATTTAAAAACAGAATAAAAAGTTGATTATCAAGTTTTTTTCTCTTTTAATGAAGGCAAAGCTAATAATATCCCAACACACACATAATCAGCATGTTGCTTCAGTGGCGAGATCAACATAATAATATCCCAACACACATAATCAGAATAACTGTTGAAATGAGTTATGCCAGAAGCTTCACACATGGTTACTGATGCTGTGATGCATGCTGCTAGAAGTCCCACACCTACAGCTGATGTAATGAGATATAAATACAGCATAGCGTCTCATTTTGGGTTAGGAGAGATCAGGCGACTCTCGCTACATGACAAAACGGCTCTCATTTGCATATCGCTGATTTTCAGTCTTTCAGCTATACTTGATCTCTCTGTTTATGTACTGTATGTTCTCAGAAACATCTTTACAGGCTAAATATCCCCGTGAGGCTCGTCCCTTATCTGATTCACCCCTTTCAATTACTAGCTCAGATGTTTACCCACAATGCCACTGCACTAAAACATAGTGCAACTGGATGTAATCAAAAGAAAATAGTTTTTCTCGAATAGTTTTGCATTTGAATTAATGCATAATTGTTATTGTATAATCAAACCGCTTTTATACTGTATTGTGTGTGTTTTCTCTGTGTAGGTCAGGTCAGCTGGTTTGGCTACGAGAGCCCGCGCAGTTTCTGGGATTACATACGTGTGGCGTGTATTAAAGTCCCACACAGCTGCATCCACAGCATCGAGAACATGGAGAACGTCCGCAGCTCTAGAGCAAAGGTCAGGACTCGCATGTCTGTATTTTTGGAAGTTCAAAGTTTCAAGGCTGCATTTATTTGATGAAAAAAACAGTAAAAACAGGAATATTGTGAAATATTATTACAATTTTGTATATACTGTACTATACAGGGATGTGATTTTTCCCTGTTTTATGCAGTTTTCCATATTTTCCAATCTTAAAAGTATTTGAGAATTGCATAAATCTGAGGGAATTTTTTTTTTTTTGGAGGGTTGTGGTTGTATGATTGAAATTGTCAAATGACCATAAACATTATAAGCAAAAAAAAAATATATATATATTAATAATAAATATTAATAATAACAATAATACAGCAATTGTGTTCATTATTTTATTATAACATATTGTGTTATTATTATTATTACAATTAAATACTCAATTTTTAAATTTGACAGTGCAATAGTATTTATTAAGATTATGAATTAGCTTTTATTTTTATATTTTCAATTTTAGTTTGAGTAATTTTGTCATTTTTACTATTTTTGAGAGAAATATTTCTGTTAAGCTTTGATTTATATTTATTAGTTTATTTCAGTTGCCAATGCAACTGCAATATTTAAAAATTTCGTTTCAGTGTTTAAATTTCAGTGTTACGTTTTATTTAATTTTATTTTACTATATATTGTATTTAATTTTATTTAATGAAAGTGATTTTTATAGTAACACTCACATATGATCACAAAGTAACAAAAACCAGAGGAAATAAGGCATCCCAGAGCAGACCTGTCCTGTTTATATCCAGCATTATCTGTCTTGTGTGATCCGATCACAAGCGATCAGCTCTGACAGATAGTCGGCTGACTCGGCTCAAATGTGTTTCCATAAATGGGGTCTGCATCCTCACTCGGTTGAATTGCTTCCATTTTAAAGGCTTTTGTGGTTGACAGGTAAGAGGAACTCTCTCGTTCTCTCTCTCAGGGTCGTGCCTGGATTAGAGTGGCGTTAATGGAGAAGCGTTTGTCTGAATACATCTCCGCAGCTCTGAGAGACTTCAAAAATACAAGGTACTGTAACTTTATGCAGCACTCACAGACACGCGCACTGAGACTCATATTTGATTGCAGGCTGATTGTGATAAAATATTTTCACAAAGTCAAGTGTTGTCAACCTCTCCACAACACTCACTGTTTAAATATGGCGACATAACCAAAATAAAAGCAGCACCACATTGCAAAAAAAAAAAAAGACAGAATTGTGAGTCAACAAAACTGCATTGTGCCATCAATAATTCAGTTTAATGCAGAGACATCTAAAAGTTAGCCATTTATCGTCTCCTTCAAAAATATTGCTTATTTTGATGCGATTTTGAAGAACTGTTTGCCTGATTATCTGATTTTCGGTCGGAGATCTGAGGACACGTCAATATTTTGTTTGTGGTGCTGAAATGAGATGTGGTTCTCGTGATCTTAGAAAACCAAAAAAATATCACATTTACATGTAGTAGAAGTAAATCCGAGGCACTCTTCATAGGAATTGATAAAAAGCCTTTATTTGACTGGCTAGCCAGTTATTGTTCTACATGTTATTGAATTCCCGATCCCAAATCTCCATAAGCACCCTGGATGTTTTTTTTCCATATCACATTTACAATTCGTCATTTTAGGCCATTTTAAGTCATAGAAATTAATAAAATATTACAATTTATTAAAATTCTATTGTGGTTTTTGCTTGTGATATTGCTCTTTTTGAATACATACAATTGACATTTTTTTAATAGAAAAAATACACAACCATTTGGGTTTCAGTCACTCATGCTTGCAAAGGCTTCGTTTATTTGATCACAGTAAAAACAGCAATCTTGTGAAATATTATTACAATTTAAAGTAACTGTTTTCTATATAAATATATTTTAAAATGTAATTTATTGCTGTGATGGCAAAGCTTATCATTACTCCAGTCTTCAGTGTCACATGATTTATCAATGTTGAAAACATTGTGTTGGTTAATTATGATTTTTTTTAGGATTCTTTGGTAAATAGAAAGTTCAATGAACAGCATTTTTTAAATAACAAATTAATTAAATAACAATGCAAATGTCTTTTATGGTCACCTTCAACTTAAAAGAATTAATTTCTTTTAAAAAGTCTTACTGACCCCAGACTTTTAAACAGTAATGTGTCTCTATAAAATTATTACAATAAAATAAAAATCAAACAACTACAAAATCATGGACAAATTAAAGTGGTCTTCATCAGTTTTTGTGCTGAAGATCTATCTTGTGTTTGTTTGCCAGGAGGTTTTATGAGGAGGGGGCTATAGTTCTGGGGGAGGAGGCGGGGCTTCTGGCAGATACACTGATTGGACTGAATGCCATCGACTTCAGGTACGTTCATGTTCATTCACTTCCTTTCTGTGGGTGGCAGTGACATTCATCTGTGCCACAGCAGGACAGGATGTTGATCATTTATTAAATGGGTGGCTCTCCATAAACACCTGCTGACATGAGCCGCACACGCTCCTGTACACACATACAATATATAGATGCCGAGAAGAACAACCTCTGAATTGTTTTGTGGGATCATATCCCGTAATATTTTCCCACAGTTCTCATCTAATAAAGTGGCTAATTTGTTGGCTAATGCTTAAATTCTCATCTTCAATTGACAGTTTCTGTCTGAAAGGGGAGGTGCTGGATGAGAGCTGTCCCGTCGTCATTGACTACACGCCGTACCTTAAATTCACACAAACGTAAGAGTGCCACACAAAAACACTCTTATAAACATGCTGTCATTGTCCACATGCTTTAGACCTTCTTAATGCATACGATTGAATATCATACATTGTGTGTGTGCTGTAGTTCTGACAGCATCAGCAGCGACGAGGAGGAAATGAGAACGCTGGGCAGCAGCGGCAGTGAAGCAGGCACTCCTGAATCCCACCTGGCTGCCAGTTTGATGGCCGATCAGAGCACCTGGTACAGCAAGAGCAAAAGACTAGAGCAGAAATACAGAGTCGTGCTGGAACAGAAGGTGAGAACGGTTACTAATCATACTGCTTCTGCTGTATTCAGTGTCTTATGTACATGATCTACTACATTTGCCAAAATTCATAGTTCACAACCAGAGCACGCTGTGAGCTTCCCTTTCCATTTGTTTTGGTTATCACTGGCTGTGCATGAAAATCTTTCAAGCATGCTGCATTAAAAAATGAATTTGATCAAAACTTCAGAAATATTATTATAAATATTATTACAATTTAAAACAACTGTTCGCTATTGTAATATATTTTCAAATGTAATTTATTCATGTGATGGCAAAGCTGAATTTTCAGCATTCTTACTTCAGTCTTCAATGTCACATGATCCTTCAGAAATCATTCTAATTTTTGTTGAATAAAAGGATTCATATCTTTAAAAAAAAATCTTAGATTTTTAGATTTTAGATTTTAAGTTTTAGATTATTGAATATCAACAAAAGGTGAATTTTTTTTTTAAATATACGGTAAATGGACTGCATTTATAGCGCGTTCACAACCCAATGGCCACCAAAGCGCTTTACGTTTTGTTGTAAAATGAACCTATTTCCAAAAAAAGTGGAGTATCCTTTTAAAACATCATTTATTTAATAATTTAAATCATTTTTTTTTTTTTTTTACTTTTTTTATGTTACAAAAGTCTTATTCTTTTTAAAATTGGCATAAAAAGTTAACTTACATTTCATTCCCCCAAGTATTCTTTTTTGACACATTTTCTGATTGGACGGCAAAAAAAGCAAATGATTTGTTGCATGCTGTTTATATATACTGTATATATACTATGCCATATGCAGAAGAAGTAACCTAGTTTTCCATATCCCGGGTACTGAACTTTGAATGTTAAACTGAGTGCTGTTTCTAGATCAGTGATTTGCAGAGCTCCTGATTTTAAGTATCTAGTCTGACACCCTTAAATCAGGTCATGGGGTCTGTAATGGTCTGTCCTGATGAGCGCATGAGTTCAGTCAGGTGTGTTAGATAAGAGAGACATCCTGGGGGGGACAACCATGAAACACTGACACGGATTGCATTAACTATTCTAATTGTTTAGGGTTATCTGGAGGAACTGGTTCGTCTGAGGGAAGCTCAGCTGTCTGAGTCTGTCTCTCAGAATAAATCTCTACTTCAGCGGCTCACAGACACGGAAATCAGCCACAAACTGGAGAAAGAGCAGCTGGAGATCATCATACTGGAGCTGCAGGATCAGCTGTAAGTTTGAACTGGTGTTATTTTAGTATTTTTTTATATAGTTTTTTACTGAATCCATGTGTATATATGTTTCCTCTGAGGTGCCAATGGAGGCAGTGTCTCCTCAAAAAATCACCGTCTCTTGGCTCCCCTGAGCCCATTGAGTTTTAACAGACCCCCTAAAGCGTGCGGTGGGTTTAGTGGGTAATTGAGAATGAATGGGGAAAAGTCATGTGAGAGGAGGCAATGCCTCCATCCTGCTATGATTAGATATGATTGGTTAGGATATATTGGTTAATTCCACCTATGTCCAGTGTTGTGCCTGAACGCGTTCATTGAACGATACTCCATGAACGCGTTCATATTTTGGGCGAACGTAAACTTAACGTACTGTATTATTGCCTGATGAACGTTACTGTGAAATCGTTCATTCTTTGAATGCATGCTTTCTCAGTTTAACTTCGTTCAATAGGGTGCCAGATTTCTATAGAGCCTTCCAGGTGAAAACCCGGCTGAAACACACCATAAACAGGCCTTAATGTAGCGCAAACAACATCCAATCTGGCAATACAAGCCACCAGTGTCGCACACACACCGCCGCATGCGTCTATCAAGACAAAAAGCAGCATGTAGTCGACAAAGCATCAAGGTATGATCATTTAAACAAGTTTTATGACAAGGTTGGTGAGGATGGGAAAAATCTTACCACAGACAGCAATTATTTTATCAGCAGGCATTAATTAAAGAAAATAGCTCGCAGCAACATATGAAAAAAAAAACATGAACTAGTTCATTTTTGGAACTTGTGAACTTAGTTCAAAATTGTTAAGTATGAACTATGAACTGAACTAGTTCATTTTAGAATTTGTGAACTGAACTTTGAACTAGTTCATGTAGACTTTCCCAACACTGCCTATGTCACATCAAAATCAAACTTGAAATGGCCTGAAAACATGATGACTGTTTCAGCTTGGGGAAATTAAAGGAACATCTTTGTGTTTGTGTCTGTGATCACTGTTTACCGAGCTTGAAAACTGAAGGTCTGAAAATAAGTTGAATATGAAAAAGAACAGCTAAACATCAGTTCACAAATAAGATGTATTATTTAAATTATTACTGCCGTTTAGATATTATTTTGGAATAAATTCTAAAAATGTTTGAACACTAACTTGACGAGATTTATGCTTGGTTTTGATAAGAAACAAACAATTAATAACATTGTTAATGTAGAAATACAAAATAACGTTGTATTTAGTTTCTTTTTTCTTTCTTTTTGATGTTATGTATGTATTTAACCAGGAAAATGTGACAACATTAAGTGTGTCTGGGATATGAATTTACATTTGATTTATTAAATTATTTTAACAAAAAAGGGGGATCATACAAAATGCATGTTATTTTTTTATTTGGCACTGTCCTGAATTAGATTTTACATGAAATGTTTACATATTATCAACAGGACAAAATAAAAGTTATAAAAATGGGGGACCCTGTTCAAAAGTTTATTTACCCTTGATTCCTAATACTGTGTGTCATCCTAGAAAGATGATCCATGGGGGGTGAAAACTTTTGAACAGGATGAAGATCAGTACATTTTTCTTATTTTGTTTAAAGATCATAGTTTTTATATTTAGTACTGCCATTCAGAAGCTACATACATGTTTCCCAAAAGACAAAATAAATACAATTGACCCTGATCTTTAAATTCAAAAAGTTTTATTCTGGAGCATCATGGAATGTAAAGTCAGCTTTTATTTTGGGCAATTTTACTGCTCAGGAAAACGAGGGACTCATGGGCAATCATTACAAAAAAATTAAATAAAAAAACAGTCGTGGACCAGTAACAACACATTATTAAGAATCAAGGGTAAAATATCAGGTAATTTTTATAAATTGTCTTGTGGAATATATGTAAACATCGTTTATGTAAAATATTTTATTCATGACAGTACTAAAAACTAAAAAATAACATGCATTTTGTATGATCCCTCTTAAGTTAAAATAATTAACAATTAGCAGATTCTCCAAGGTGCATGTAAACTTTTGAGCATGACTGTATGCATTTGTATTAGACAATCTCGGCAAATTTTAAATTGAATGATTAAAATTGTGGTTGGTTAGTGAATATGACACTACTTATGCATGCAGCATTTCATTGCAATGCATTTCAGTGCAACTGTTAGTAAATTTGCCTTTGTATGCGTGATTCGTGTTCACGGAAATATGCTGTTTGCAGGAGGGGAAAGTTGGTCTCCCTGTGAAGAGATTTTTTGCAGTGTGGTCTCATTTATCATGCGGATATTATGCTTCTTCATTTAATTTTAGTTGCACAAGATGCTGTAGCCGAAGAACACTTCGTCTTTGGCATTTTCCATGGCTGCAGAGTGTCAGTACGGATGATCTCTGAACGTTTCCGATTCCTTTCGGCTCTCATTTTGTCAGACAGCTGGAGTTCACGGTTCAACTGAGCTCTGGAGAGCCCATAGACCAGAGCAGGGTTGCTATGGAGACAGACGCAAATAAGTTAATAGATTATTGCAGCATGTAAGCAGGGACAGGATTTGATCGATAAGAGAGGGAATGAATGAAAGAATAGAGGAAAGGAGAATGCATTTGTTTGCATGTACTTTTTTTTCCCTTGGCACTCATTCTTACAAATCAAACTTATATGAATGCGCTTATACCATGTTGTGATTTTAAGTCAAAGACAAACATCAAGCATGGGATGTCTATCTATCTATCTATCTATCTATCTATCTATCTATCTATCTATCTATCTATCTATCTATCTATCTATCTATCTATCTATCTATCTATCTATCTATCTATCTATCTATCTATCTATCTATCTATCTATCTATCTATCTATCTATCTATCTATCTATCTATCTATCTATCTATCTATCTATCTATCTATCTATCTATCATAGATCTGGTCATAAAAGAGACCTTTTTAAACAGTTTATTTGTTGTTTATGGAGGTCCGTCTCTGTCCGTGTGAAGCTGTTTGTGTTTCACTGCATCAGCTGCGGAGCTCCATCTGGCTGAATCAATACAGAGAGCCGCAAGTGTTTGCAGTCCGCCAGGAGTGATTTTTCAGCTGAGTGGTCAGTTTGGAAATCCAATTGCTGTCCACACTTTTTATGGATGATGAGAATATTTTACGTTAAATGCCTTGTTCCAGATTTTGAGTTTTGCTCAGTGACTTGTGATTGAATATGGTGAAGGTTAAAAATATAAAAAATATTGTGAAGGTTATTTAAAAAGTACATGCACCATCAAAACACAATGTTACGAGTGAGCGAGCTGCCTGTGACAAGATGGCCGTCAGGTGCAGACGTCGACCTCCATTTGCCAGCAGCGCGGATGAGACATCTAGCCTTTATTATGGATATCTATGGTCTTGATCACATCTATGTGCCTAAATGCATTGAGTTGCTGTGATTGGCTGATTAGATATTTGCTTTAACGAACAGTTGAACAGGAGTACCTAATAAAGTGGCCAGTGAGTGTATATTCATATACTACATTTTCGGTTTGTTCCCCCTAGGACGGTGCTGAAGAACCATGACATGCGCTCCAGACAGGAGCTTACCTCGCACCTGACAAACCAATGGCCCTCACCTGGCACTTTGGATACCAATGCTGTTGCATTGGATACGCTCCTGTACAGGAAATGCACAGGGCCTTGGGAGGAGTATGTGCTTACTGTTTTTGTTCTTAATAAATGTATGCTCTCAGATTATTCACATCCCTCTGAGATACATGCAGCTTCACACCACAACTCATCTAATACTGAATTCCAGTCAATTTCCTCATGGTCAGCGAATGATTCAGGAAGCAATAGCTCTTAGGCTCTAGTTATAGTTCATGTCTGCAGCTCTCAAATCCCATTACAGTATTGGCATACTTCCTACAGTTATCACTCTCATCTATTGATAACCTACAGAGGGTTATTAAATGGGTTGATCTAATTGTAACCCTAACTGGTTACAGTGGTATTTTTCACGAAAAACATTGTCATTTCCAAATTTTTATTTAATTATTTTCACATTTCCTCCCAAAGTTTTCATTAATGTCATGTGTTTAGACCTTTTTTAAAACTTAAACTTTCTTGTCATTAGTGAAATGTATTATTTTTAATGCATTACTTTTTTTATCGGCATACATACTACTTGTATAATTTAAACACATTTAATATAATTTATATACACAACTGTTTTATACAATTTTTTATATTGTATAGTCCATCAAATAAAACTTCAGGATGACCATGGCACTCTTTTCGAATTAAAAAGCCTTTATTATTAGATGGCTACATACAAAAAATCTGAAAAATCCACATATACTGGACTTTGTTTATATTTTATATTAAATAATATTTTAATATAACATTCTAAAAACACAATTTTTAAAAAATAATTTATAAAAAAATAAGCTATTTAATTTCTCTTTTAAATAATTGTTATATATTATAATATGTAAGAAAGTATTTTTAATATAACAATCTAAACATGTTATGCAGTCACATTGTAAATAATCTTAAAATAATCTAATCTAAATTAAATAATCTATTTGTATATATATATATATATATATTTAAAAAAAACTTTTTAATTATTTTTAATTTAAATGCTGTATTTTTTTATAATAAACATTAACATAATTTTTATATAACATCATGTTGTAAGAAATCTTGATAGTTTTAAAATATTTAAAAAAAAAAGAAGCAAAATATACATTTTAATATTTTATAACCCGTGTGTCTCCAGAAAAAGTTTCCAGAGTTTGGAGCAGCTTTCTGCAGATATGAGTCTCTCTCAGATGTCTCTCGATCCAGCACAACTGAACCCTCACAGCCTGGACAGCAAGGCAGGACTCACACACTGGCACAGAGAAGGTTTGTGATGTGTGTAATGAGTCAGCTATGGTGACATCATTCTCTGATAACCAGCTCTATTATAGATTATGTCATTTCTCAGTGGAAGGGCCCTTACAGCACCTGAGGGAAGATAACAGCACCCCTTCCTTAATATTTGTCAGAATCTCATGAAAAAAAAGGGGGGGGGGGGGAACTATATTCTGATCAAAGAAAATAAAACACATTCGTGGACATTTGCGGAAAATGACATTTCCATTTTTTTCCATTAGATTGTTATAAATCGTGATACTTTGGAGTACAGACTTTGGTTTTAAGCTTATGAAAATGTGTAATATAGATATTTTTTATTAACAAATATATATTTTACAAAACTTGATTTACTAAAACTGCAAGAAAATCTAAATTCTTTTCCAAAATTATGTTTATTTAATTTAAATCTATTATTTTACTTCAATTCAAGTTTTATTTATTTTGTTATGTGCTTTTATTATTTCATATATTATTATCATATATTTTTTAAATATTTCTATTTATTTAGTAATTTCTTTAGTAGTAGTTTCTCCTTCTAATTTTTCATTTTATTTTATTTCAGCTATATTATACATACCCATAATTATTGTTAAAGGAGTAGTTCACTTTTTAAAAAATTTTTGCTGATAATTTACTCACCCCCATGTCATCCAAGATGTCCATGTCATTCTTTCTTCAGTCGAAAAGAAATTAAGGTTTTTGATGAAAACATTCCAGGGTTTTCTCCATATAATGGACTTCAATGGTAACCAAATGGTTCAAGGTCCAAAAGACAGTTTCAGTGCTAACTGCAAACTGTTCAAAGGGCTTTAAACGATTCCAGACGATGAATAAGGGTCTTATCAAGCGAAATGATCACTCATTTTTAAAAAAACAACACAAAGTTTAAGTTTTATAAGCTCAAAGCTGCACATTTTACAGTAGCAATTGTAGTAGGTCATTACATATTCCATGCCTACAGAACATTCACAAACTCTGCACAGCACACAGAAAGCGCACTGCAGAAATAGTATAAAATCATTCCTTACAAACGTTCCTCTCTGTTGCTCAGATGTTGTGTCTACTACTCTGCCTTTGCCTTGCATAATAACATGAGCCTTGTGAAATGATATTAGTAACGTCTCCACACTCTACTACAGTGTGTATACATGTTTTCACAGGGAAAGAGGATACTCCATCTCTGAGGGGTTTGTGTGGTTCGTTAACCTCAGTGGCCAGTTACAAATCTCTGGCCAGTCTGAAGTCCAGTGAGTATCTGGCCAGTCCAACAACAGACATGACCAGCCCAGGAATGACCCCGTCCTGAACACAGAGACAAGTATGGACATATACACGCACACAGGCTTACACGCACCCAAACACACCGTCCTGCTTGAGATGGTGTGGGCTTCAAATTAAGTAGAAGAAATGAAAATCTACCCATCTGTACCATCTTCTAAGAGACATTGGAAAAGATGGTGTCCTGACTGGTTTTAGTTTAATTTGAAGTGCAGTTTCATTTTTAAAGTCGTTGAAGTCCATTAGTGAATATTGAGATTAATGAACCACGACGAACGACAATCTTGACTCAGGACATCAGTGAATTTCAGCTATTTGTGGAATATCAACCTACCCAGTTCAAATGGCTGCGGTTTTTGCAAGGGCCAGAGACAAAGCTTTTCTTGCTGTTTTATTTGTGTGCTCCTGTTCTTAATTTGTCCTTAACACAGGGTCAGTGACCCCTGCTAAACTCTGACTGGCCTTCAGTAGCCCTGTGTCCTTGAAAATGATAGTTTATAGAAAGCCAGCACAGATATTTGGGAAACTGCAGTTGTCTGTGCTAACGGCCAATCTATGATGATTTTATTTTATTTATTGCATTGCCAACTAAAACAATCTGCCTAAACTTAAAACAGCCTTAAAAATGTAAACACACATGTATAGCTGTTATATTTAACAAGAAAAACATTTAGAACGTGACAATTTTATCCATTTGAAATAGTTGGGATTGTGAGAAGTGGGTGTTCTGTATTAGAATAGAGAAAAAAGGATTATGGAGCTTTGAAATTGTAAAATTGTCCGATAATGACAGAGAAGTGTGAACAACAAATATGGCTTTGTTCACTTCCCATCTTTTGTCTTTTAAGGGTGCATGAGGGATGTGATTTCAGACATGTGTGGATGTTAATACATTTTTTTTCCGTCTCTGGATTTTAATAGAAGTGTTTGAGATTCATTCTGTCCTCTTACATGGAGAGGTCTTCCATATTCATGAGTTGTGTGATTTACATATTCATACAGCACTCGAACATCAGTTTTGCAATTTTTCCCACCATCACTCATAGATAGTGGCTAATGTGCGCTGGTGTAAAGCATTGCCATGCATTTTTATATTAAATAAGAATAATGTGGATGATAAATAAGTAGACTGGAACAAATTGTACTCAGAACCTAAGTAAAGATCTTGTAATTTGTAATTGTCTGAAGTAGGGTTGGAAATTTAATGGGAAATTTGTAAGTAAATGGTGTAATTTTCCCACCTCGAGAGCAATTCAAGCTTAAAGTACCTCTTTGTTTTTGCAAATCTCGAGCTGTGGTAATAGGCCAGTTATGTTCGATAAGATGTTGCTTTACCCATCTGCCACAAATATGTATTTTAATCATTATTCTATATATGTGGTTTGGTTACTAAATTATGTTTTAATGAACATACAGTATTTCATTAGGTTTTACTTGACAGCTCCAGTCTGAACCCTTTTATAAATGGTTTAATTTTAGAATTAATTGTGTTTGAAGTTCAAATTAAATGAACCACTCCTAATACTGCTGCTGATAATTACAAAAATAATTAACGTTTAGTTTAACTAGTGTGATTTGATAATACAAAACGGAGGCATGCCAAGCCATGAGCTGTGTATGAAATTAATTGAATATATTGAGAAATATATATGATTACTCCTCATCAGCGGATTACTAACAGAAATTCCTGGGAAACACGTATGCAGAATTCCCTTTTTTGCCTCTCATTTGAAATAGTGTTGTTGGCTTGTATGTTGCCTTGCTGAACATTAATGTTCATTGTGTTCAAGAATGTCTCGTCTGCCTGCCTGCATCACAGAAATACGTTTTACATGTGAAACGCATGTTTTACACTGTTCAGAGCTAGTCTTTTCAGAAGCCCACAACTAAGATGTACTACTTTAATAGTTTTCACGGATCCCTATGAATGGGGATTGTTTGACAAAGTTGTCGTCTTTACGCGAAAAATGCACAGGAAAAAACTTTTCTGTATTTAGTACAGAAAATCATTTCGTTGTCATGTAAATGTTCCCTTTGAAACCCATTTTAAAAAGGTTGCGGTTTCAGGCCCCCAAAACTCTAACTAAATGAATGGTTAAAACGAATAAAGTTTTCCGTTTTTAGTTGAAAACGGTGTGGTTTAAATGGCCCCTAAATGTGCATATCAAGTGTTTTTGTTTTTTTTCAAGTTATTTTACATGCATTTCAGTACTTAAGGGTTACTTTCCAGTTTTGTTTAGTCTTAAATCTGAGAAAAATTATCATTTGTTTTGAAACACTACAGAATTGTCACCGTTACAGACATTTTTGAATGTATTTTTTCTGCTTAACTTTTTTATTTAAACCTGCTTTTGTGATAAAGGTTTCTTTCTCTTTAATTTTGTTACTGTGACAGAAATAAATGGGGTGAGAATGAGGGCACACAGATGAATATCATATATTCATTATTAGCCTCAATGTGTTCAGTCAAATTTCATTTTATGTCTCATCTATGATCATGTTTTTCAATAAATTTAAATGTAAATACAAGCTTGGCTGAATGCTGATTTTGTCATATTGGCTATTAACATTATCACATTGCATGTTTAATTTAATTTACCAATGCAAAATAATTGCAATATTGTGTAAAAACAGAATGTAAACGAGATTGCAGAAATTCTGGTTTTCATTATACTGGAAATGGAAGGTGTGGCACATTGCATTGTGGGATGCAGTATGCCAAGCAGTGTACTCGGTTGAAAAATATAAGTCATTTGTGCTTACAGAAAATGAGCATACTTGCATTAGATAAACTAATTTTTTGCAGACTCCACAAGATCTTACATGCTCCTAGTTTAAGCAACATTACTAACAACATCCTGGATCTGATTGAATAAAGAAATCAAGAGTCAAGACAACGTGATTTTAAATCAATCCTTATTAAAGTACTTAAAATCTGTTCATTTACATACAGTGCAATTGTTTAAAAAAACGTTAAAACACTATTTAAGCATAGGGTTAGGAAATATATTAACATTTTAAAAATCATTTATGTGTCATCAGTCAATATGGCCTTTACACAACAAACAGCTTCAGGGTTTTTTTTGGCACCATTCACTTATAGAAATAGCTGAAACACAACTAAGACTTTTTAAACAACTTAAGTCAGGTAGAATAATATCAATCACAATTATAAACATGACTGATGGGAATAAATTTGGTGTTCTTCACAAGGTGTTGAATCACCTTTAATCAATAAATAAATACCATAGAGAAAGTAAATATGTATTTCACAGTAAATCTATGAACTAGTTTTTTCTTTAGACAGGGGGTGCTTCTCATTTCTAATTTGCATCCTTCTTTCTTTTCCTCACTTTCCAGCTTAACCCTTCAAGGGAAGGATGCAAAGAAAGAAAATGAGGATGAAGGAATCGAAGGAAAGCTTATTTGTATATTGGAATATTCTAGATCACTCGAGCGTCACAAAGCATCATCAACTGCGCTTAAAGGATCTGAAGAACTCTGATGGGCAGTGGCCCTCCATAAGCAGGCCTGGACACTCCTGCTTTAGACAGACAGCAAGAACTAATGCATGCTAGGAAAAACGTGCAGTAATCTGGGGTTAATTTATCTGGCCTGTGATCAAGTGTTGTTCTTATTCAGAGGTTTGCTGTGTGAGATCATGCGCTGGGCTGCAGTTGGGTCATCCCATGTTTCTGCTGGTTGTATCTACGGAAGAAAGCTTTTCCGAACTCGTATGTGCTGATCATAATAGCACATGCCGGAGCCACTTTAATCAGCCTTGGCATAAAACCTGAGAATGAGAGAAAAGAGTGCACTGCTGAGACATCTAGTGGTGATTTGAAAATCAAGGTACCGAAAAACAACTGAAAGCAATCTAGAACTATTATATAGTAAGACTAAACACACACACACACACACACTATATATTTAAATATATATATAAAAGTATATATATTTCAAATAAATGCTTTTTTTTAACTTTCTATTTATCAAAGAATCCTGATTAAAAAAATTGTATCAAGGTTTCGACAAAAATATTAAGCAGTACAATGTTTTTTTCAAAATTGAAATGAAGGGTTTTTTTGAGTACCAAATCAGCATATTTCAATATTTTAATAACATTTAAGATTCAGCTTTGAACCACAGGAATAAAATACATTTTTAAATGTATTAAAATAGAAGCAATACTATAAAAATATTACTATTGTACTGTATTTATTGATCAAATGCAGGCTTGGTGAGCAATGAGGATGAGGAATTTCTTTCAAAAACATTAAAAAAAACCCATTACCGAGTCTGACCCCCCTCCAAATGTATTCATACAGTTGCAATCGAAATTATTCAACCCCCGTTATGCCAATTAAGTTTGGGGAAACCACTTGAAACATTTGAACAATTTCAATTACTTGTAGTTTGATTTGTTCATTGCAAACAGCTGAAAGTCTGTAATTTTTTTCAAATAAACCTGATTTGCAGTGAGGATTGAATAATTTCATTTTTTTTTAAATATATTTACCTGCAAATAGTCCTGATACTCCATTTTCAGCAACTATCCTTTTCATCACATTATATGTACTGGAGGAGACTTGTGTGGACACTATACCGAGAATACTACACATTAATGCCATATACATGTGAACAGAACGTTGAAAATCCCAATGATGGAAAATGACATGAATTTTCATACTTACAGTTCTTTGTTTGCATTTCACCCAGTTCTACCTGTCGTTTTGTCTTGACCACATCAAATGGCAGTGTGACGATAGATGCAATCTAAAACAGGAAAATACAGGTACTTTACATTTTAGGACACTTTATCATTTACAATACAAATGAGATGTGGCCAAATACGTCCTAGATAGATAAAAAAATGTTTTGTGTGTTAGCGTCAGTAAACGAGGCCCATGCAAGCTCTGATGAGGCAGATGTAAATCAGACTCACCGATCCAGAAATCGCTCCAGCTGTGAATGTGATGCTAAAGGTTGGATCTGTACAGCTGTAGTATTCACAGAGCCATACTTTACCCTTCTCATAGTTAAACCAATACATAGCTGAGGAGAAACAGAAAGTCAGATAAGAAATTAGGAAATAGCAGCAAACATGACACATTCAAAGAGTTGTGTGATTTGCTGTTCTGTAGTACACTACCGTTCAACAGTTTGGAGTCAGTAGGATCGATCTTTTAAATGATTTTTTTTTTTTAAGTATCTTTTACTGGTTCAGTGTCACACGATCCTTCAGAAATCCTTCTAATATGCTGATTTGGTACTTAAGAAACGTTTCCTTATATTATACGTTTCCTAATTATAAATGTTGAAAACAGCTGTGCAGCTAAATATTTATGTGGAAAACAGTATTTTTGTGTGAATAGAAGGTTCTATTATATTTATTTTAGGGCTGTCAAACGATTCATTGCATCCAAAATAAAAGTCTGTTTTTACATAATATATGTAGGTACACTGTGTATAATTACAAATACAAAATGTTTAATTATTTTTATTAGTAACCAAACTCCATCGCACACCTGCAGGTGATAGGTGCGTCAGATAATAAGACCAGCTAGTCATTCAAGCAGATAAGGAACTCCCGCACACTATCATTTCTTGCACTTTTTAATCAAGTTTATTCACACACAACGTTTCGGTCACACGACCTTCGTCAGGAGTACTCCTGACGAAGGTCGTGTGACCGAAACGTTGTGTGTGAATAAACTTGATTAAAAAGTGCAAGTAATGATAGTGTGCGGGAGTTCCTTATCTAATTATTTTTATTAAAAATACACACACATGCATGTATATTTAAGAAAAACAAAAAAATTTGTATATAATATAAATTATTTATAAATCTATATACAGTATATACATGAAAATATTTCTTAAATATATACAAGCATGTGTGTGTGTATATATATATATATACATATATATATATATATATATAAATAAGAATTATACAGAGTGCACCCACATAAATTATGTAAACACAAACTTTTATTTTGGATGCGATTAATCGTGATTAATCATTTGACAGCCCTAATTTATTTATAACAGAAATCTTTTTTAACGTTATAAATATCTTTACTGTCACTTTTGATCAATTTAACACATCCTTGATGAATAAAAGTAAAACATCATACTGACCCAAAAGACCCAGACTGGATATTTTACAACAGTTTCGAAAACATCCATCAGAATTTACAGTCAGAACTACCAGTTTTATATTAGTTTTAGTATTTTGTGTTTGCAAATCAAGTGCTTCAAAATGTGAACTCTGTAACGTGAAGGCTGTGCGTGTTTCACCTGAGAAGGGGACGTCTCGGAGCAGCGTGGGTCCCCAGCCCCTCCACAGAGACCGCCAGCCCTCGCTGTGCAACGCTGACCGGATCACATCACTCAGCTCCCGGTACGACTGTTTCTCAGCCTGCATCTTTGTGCGGATCAGCTCCAGGGGACTGATTACTGTGGCCGAGCCCACTGACACATTCAGAAAACTCATATGAAGGCAGGCGTACTCTGATTTAGAAGGTCAGCATGTGGAGAAAAGGTCAAACACATAATCAGTGGGGCTAAACATTACCTCTCGCAATTGCGCCGGCAAACAGTGGTGCCAGATCCGACCGGTCTCCCATCCTGACCTTGAAAGCAGCACAGAGCTGATCGTAACATGTGAAATAGATCACGGTCGCAGGCACCGCCATCATTCTGCAAAGGAAAACCATTGCATTACACGTGTTAAGGAAAGGTCAGTTGGGTTCAGACAGCAGCAAACATCTTCAGAAATGTAATAGAAAGCTCACAGTGTTGGAGGAAGACCACTCCAAAGTGATCTGATTCCTTCCATACGTATAATCTTAATAAAGGCATCCTGGAACAGAAGAACAAACAGAGCATTAGAGTATGTATTTAACCACTATCATACTGTGAAGAGAAACTGGACTCACATTTTTTATATGGTTTAGCTTACCAAAGTGCCGTTGAAATGACCAGGTGCTTTGTACCATGCCTTTGAATTGCCATTCTCACAGATGCATATATGATCCATCAGGCCATTACAGTACATAAAACATTTTCCTGCCAGTCATCAAAAAATGAAGAAGAGGTTTCAACCACATCAACATCTGACTTCATTTGAACAGATAGCAGCTCAAGCATACCTTTAGGAAAGGGATTTTTTTGTGCCTGCAGTCTGATCTTTACCACATCCAGAGGTGTCACTGTGAACATGAAGAAAACAGCAAACATTATTACTATATTGCTATTTTTTATTGTGAAAAAAGTGTCTGCTAAATTAATACACTATAATTCAAAGGTTTGGGGTTATAAGGTTATAATATTGTTTTATATTTCTCTTATGCTCTGAAATAGATAGATCCACTTCCTTCATACTAGTCCATAGGCTTCTTGAGGGATTGAAACTTGCCAGCCTCGTAAAGTAATTCAAGACATTGTTAAAATAGTCCAAGTGACTACAGTGGCTGAATCTTAACTTTATCTAACGACGAGAACAATTTTTGTTTATTTTTATGTCCCACGTTGCACAAGTTTTTTTTTTTTTTTTAACAATTGCACAGTTTACATGAACATTCCTCTCCATTATAAAAAAAAATACATTGTGCAGTTTCCAATATTGCGGGTCAAACATAAAACAAACAAAGACTTACATCACATTTTGCTAAGGGTAGTACAGATTTACAAAAAGTTCCCACGTTGCACAAGTTAATATATTTATCTTACCCAACAGTGACGTAATAACTGCCCCAGAGCAAGACGCCATCATCTGCTGGAAGGGTGTAATGTCCCCCTTGGGTGACCCTGGAGAACTTTTCTGAGAGCTCATCTCAAAGCCTGCCATGCCCATGTAGAGAAGAATGTTCATATTAATCTGGATTCACAAACTCCGTTGACCTCAGTCTGTAGTGAACGACAGCCATGTGCCAATAATGAACCTTGCTTAACAAGCTCACACTTACCTTGCTCTTAGTATAAATCTTGACACATGAGCAGCTCTTGTTGCATTGACCTTTATCAGGACCTTTATCCGTTTTCATTACAACTGCCTACTGCTGAATTTCCGAATTAAGTAAATAGCAAAAAAAAACAAAAAAACTCAGTAACCCCGAAAGAAAAAAAACAATGTCATTAGTGCAATCGAACAATATTAATGAATTCACGTGATTCATGGATTCATAGAGACTGTCACGCTCCTACACTAGTGTGCGCCATTGCGTTTTCTCAACAACATTACATGACATGTGTTTTACGTAACGTGTTTCGGAGCAGCAGATTCGTTACTTCCGGCTATTTAAATTTCGCCATTAGACACAATAGAACACTCATGTACGTAACAATTTATCTAACTCACATTTTATGTATTTAACAGTAGTTTTCTGATTTTTATTCCACATAAAATTCAGGCTGTTTATATTAGTGTAATTGACATTAAATATAAACTTTTTGTGGCGTCGTTTTTTGAAACGTCAAAAACTATACGTCGAAATTCCTTTCTTGAATTCCAAGATTGCAGAAGGTTTTGTGAGAGACCTCTCGAGCGGGAAAATGGAAAGGGGCTGCGTCGAGTGTTTGTTATGAAGACATTTACAAACAGTGGAGCCATTTAACGCTGTCTTGTTTTTTAGTTTTTTTTTTAGCTTAGTGTTTTAATCGAGCAACCCTTTTTGAGTAATGCTGCTATATGTGTGCGGTATAACTAGCTGGTTTAGCCTGGTTTAGGGCTGCAACCGTTAAAATTAAAAAAACTCGACGATGAAGCAAGAGTCTTTCTCTAGGTGTAAAGACAGAGGTGTTGTGAATCTTTTTAAATTAATTTTCTAATGACCTGTATCGTTTTTTTTCACATGAAAGAAGCCTCTTATAATAACGCTTTAAGAAAATTGGCGTGCTTTGTTGTTCATTATATGTATGTCTGAATATATGCAAGTTATATTTTGCTTAACGGTCTAACTGTGCTATATTGGTCTTCACAGATTCAAAACTAGAGGGATATAATGGCGCATCATCTAAAAACAAAATTAAACCAGCAAGCGATACTCTCCTGAACAAACCCTTTAAAGGGAGAATATTTTATTTGGATCTGCCATGGAATATGAAAACACAACTCTTGGAAAATGACATCAAGACACTTGGTGGTGTAAGTGCTGTTTCTTATCTTTACATTTAATATTTGAGGCTATTGTGAACAGTATTTTCACATTCAGAAAGAGATTGTCTTAAATTAGTAAAACTAGACAGCTGAGTTTGAAACTATTTTAATAAGCTTTTTGGAAGTGTACACAATGTATTTGTCCACATCTCTTGATTTTAAAGACTGCAATGCATCTGCTTTATTTGAACAGTTTAGAAGAATTTAGAAGAATGTCAGTAACCAGACAGTCTCTGGTCTCATTGACTGACATAGTAGGAAAAAATATATACTATGGTAGTCAATGAGACCAGAAACTGTCTGGTTACTGATATTCTTCTAAATATCAGACAATCGGCTGAATGGATTCGAAAACGGTAAAACTCAAATGTTTAACTCTGGGGGAGTTGTAAAATGAACCTATTTCCAAAAAAAAAGTGTAGTATCCCTTTAAGTATGACGTTATAATACAGCTAGTCTGGAATTTAAATCATTGTGATGTTGACCATGCACATTACTTTACAGATTAAGTACATTTTTTATATGTTCTGCTCACCAGACAGTGGAAAAATTCTTCAGTAAGGAGATCAAGTATCTTGTGTCCAGTAAGCCGGAGGCTCGTTATGCCCAGCGTCTCCTACCGGACTCCCCAGCGCCCAGTCCGGATTCTGGAGTCAGCTCTCCTCATCCCGGCAGCAGGAGGGAAAGCCACGGGCACAGGGGCAGCTCTCAGGGAGTCATGGATACGACTGTAAGAAGCAATTCAAAGTTTCAAACAAGAGTTTACATGTTTATTTGAACATGTATTAATAATATACTATAAATTGATTTGTGATTTTCTGCAATGCATGCTTTAAATATTATCAGAATTAATGGAAACCATGATTATTTGCTGAATGCAAATGTATCCTTGATGAATAAAACTATTAAATTGTTTTTAGAAAAGAACCCAAATCTTACCGACTTCAAACGTTTGAATGTAAGTGTGTGTTTTTTTCTGGAGGAAAACACTTAACATGTTTTGTTGTGCTGGAATTTCACAGGCAGCTGTAAGTCGAGGCAAATCTCTTGTTGAAAGAGTCGTTAAGGAACAAGTGAGTCAATCTTTATCAAGCCTTGGTTTTTTGTGAATGAACTCTGTGCAGCAGTCCTGAGTAGTTTATCAGCGCTCTGAATGAGTGATTTAGGGGTTATCTGTTCTGTTAAAGGAACGTGTTCAGATGAATGGGATCCTGGCCAATGCTGTGGAATGGGGGATCAAAGTCCTGCATGTTGACGGTATCAACATTATCATCGTCATTATTAATTCTTGTGTTTGTTAGACAAGTGAGATGTGGTTTCAGTATTTCATGGTATTTAATGCTTGACGTCCAAACAGATGTTATTTCATACGTTGACAAGAAGAAAGCTAAAGGAATTGCAGTGAATGCAGCTAATCCAGTGGTTAAAGGAGCTGTGAGTGATTTTGTTTTTCTATTCTTTTTACATAAAGAACCAAATGAACAAGTTTAAAATTCATCCATTAAAAAAACATATTGTTTAAAGTTTTTGATCATTTACTGCCCTGTTTTTATGAGAACTAAAACATTTGACCTTTTCATTTACTAGACAATTCCTCTTCTGTCTGGGGTTGGATATATATATATATCTGTTATATATATATATATATATATATATATATATATATATCTGGAGATTCCCCCCTCTATGTGAAGCGCTTTGACTGTCCAGAAAGGCGCTATATAAATGTGATGAATTATTATTATTATTATTATTGTTATTTCTGTGTATATTCAGTTTATCACTCTTCATTTTTAGGCTCGCATTCAGCACACAGAGAAAAATGCATATCAAAGACACAATGGTAAGCACAATTTGCTGCATCTCCTAGTTGAAAATCAAAAGTTGTTAATTGAACACATTATAGCAATGTTTTCATTAATTTGAATTACCGGTAATCATTTTGTTTTTTTATTTCCAGCTGGAAGAATTCGTCGACCGTTTATAAAAGTGGAAGACTCAAGCAGGTGTGTTTTCTTAGTTTAATTTCTTGTTTTACCTTTCATGTTATTGGTCCAGTTTCATAACAATCTATAATTTTTTTTTTGCAGGCATTATCGTCCCATCTACCTTCCACTGTCCAACATGCCTGTGTGCAACCTCCGCTCTCTTCCTCCATGCAGTCCTTTCCTGGTGGAGGAACATGGAAAAGATGATGCGAAGAAGAAACAGAATGAGAAAAGGTAGAATGAGCATCATTCACATGCTATAATGTTAATGTCAAGTTTTTGTGTGTATGAATGTTTGTCTGTATTTTGCTTTAGGTCTGGAGGGGAACGAGGGACTCGAGGGAAGAAAGAGAGACGCAGAGGACATGAAGGCAGAGAAAAGAGGAAAGGAGGTTACTGTGAGTGCTGTGAGGTCAAATTTGACAACCTAAAAGCGGTACGTGCTGAAAAAATTGAAAGTCACTCACAATTTTTAAGCTCATGCAATAGCAAAAACAGTGTCTGACCTGTCTGAACTTCTGACCACCAGCACTTGGAGAGTGAGCAGCATCAGGCTTTCTCAAAGAGTGAGGAATATAGAGTCTTGGATCGAGTCACAGCGGGACTGACCTGCGACCTCATGAACATCAGCACGCACTGTAGAAGGTACAAAAATGTCATTACAATTATATATTTCTTTAGGGCTAGGTTGACAACATTAGCCTGATTTCCATTACACATTTGTGCAAAACTTAAGCAATATTTTCAATGTCGATAAAAAGCTTTTGTGGAATGACAGCGTCTCATTAATTTTCTTTTCACGATAAGTCATTCCAAAAAACATCATGGTAAGGGATGTTAGTAGGTTTAAGTATTTACCTAAGTATATCCCAGCCACCACACTAGCCATTATTTTTTTTTCGACGAGATGATTAGTCCTGTATTACTGTGATACTTTTGTCTTTTATGAGTTTGTCTCGTCTTCTGTCCAAACATACCACACCATCTTTAAGGAATGGTCTACTTTTACATACACCATGTGATCTGTAAATGCTGTTTTACATTGCCGTTTTCAACATATTCCTTTTTCGAATTGCCTGAAAAACCACTTTTGGTTTTTTTTTGCGATACATATGGGAGTTTTTGCAAAATTGACTCAATTTTCAATTAGCAATTTTCATTTGTGCAATTTAAAAGGGTAATGGAAACGTAGCTATTGATTTTTCAATTTGAATTAATCTTTTAATTTTGATTAAACAATATTGATTCTTAAATTCCCGAATCAGTCTTTTAGCCTGTAATTTTTTTATTGATCCATTGACAACTCTCCTCCCATCAATAAGCATTGTGATTTGCGTTATTTACTTTTGGAATGCAAAAAAGTCTCTGCTTTCAAATAACTGAGATCATGTGAACCTATCATTTTTTTTCTCCTTTTTACTAATAGGCATAGCATGAACTGAATGAAATTGACTGAAATCAGTGTTTCAACCATGTAAAGATGACAAAACAATATGATGACGTTACAGTAACTTTTAGGAAAGCCATTCATTTGCACAACTCCTTACTTAGCTAGAGTTGGTGATTTCTTAATTATTTTAAATGTATGAATAAATCTATTATATGTTTTTATGACAGCCACCATTTAAATGTTTATTTCAACAACAAATTGGAGAAGTATAATAGCCTAACTGTTTCATCTCCAAATGAATCTATATTGAATCAAGAGCTTGAGCAATGAAATTAAATCGATTTGTGAAATCTGTCAATACCCAGCCCTATTTTATTTGCTTATTGTTATTTACTGGCCTTATGACAGCGCCATGTCAATGTCTCTCTCTGCCATAGGGTGAAATGCAGTACATCAACCCCTCTTCTGTGTGCTAAAGCCACGTTGCCAGTAAAGGAAGATGTGGGATCTGTGAAACAGGAAAGTGAGGGGTCTTTGCTTTGGGACTCTACTGCAAAGCACTGTCTCTCAGAACAGACCATAGGAAAACCTCTGCTGGTTCGCAAACGCAGCAGGGGCCAGTGTGAATTCCCTTGTAGCAACAGGGACAGCTTGTTTGACCAATCTGACATTCCGGAGAAGTCCCAGTCCAAACGTGGATCCTTTGAGTGGGACTTCCGCATGCGATCTGCTGTGCGTAAATCTGAAGGTGCATCTTTTCTCAGCAGAGAGCTGAACTGTGACTCTAATGCACTTGAATGCAGGACAGACCAACAAACCAGTAAAAACTCTGACATGCACCCAGCTCTAGAGTTCAATGAAAGAAACCAGGAAACAATAACTGGAAATAAATACTTAAGGACTGAAATGTATACGCAAAGTATGCCTGAAAATCAAGTTGAAAATTCAGCTCTTTGGCCTTTAGCCAGCACAGAACCTGAACCGGACTGTGACAACCCCTATAATTCCCTGCAACGGAAGGTTCGAAACGTCAGACCCAGGAGAAGAAAGCAAGTACCAGCCTTGTACATCGAATCTAGTAAAGAGAGAGAATCATTGGGCTCTTTTTCACTTGTTAAACCTGTACAGGAGAGTGAGACCGTGTCTACCTTGGACCTGTGGTGTCTCTTTCAGTCCAGTGACATGGATGAAGAATTTAAGGGTTTTTGAGATTAATGCTTGGTAGGAAAAAAAAACAATTGAGTGGACAACACATATGTATGTGTTATAAAAGTTATTGCTATGTCAAATAATATATATAAATCTATATTAATAGATCTGTGTTTTTCAGTAGAGTGGAAAACTGCATTCTCACCATACAGGCTTTAAAAGAAAACTTTGATTATAGACTGGAAAAATACATACTGACTATATATAGGGGAAAATTAGTGGAGCTACACAGTGAGTATGTACATTTATGGTGTGTATGTTATTGAAGAATATAACGCCTATGATACAGTCGAATTCCTGGCTCCTGTATTAAATTGAAAATATTTTTTTACATGTCTGTGTATCATGGTTAAAAGCACATGTCCTTTGCACAATGTTTTTTAGAAAGCTTATTTGGCACATGGGTAACTTTAGTTTAGATCAGATCTCATGATTGGTTGTTTCAAACTCAGCCTTCAGTTTAATTAACACTCAGTATACAGTACTGTTCTAATGTCTGGGGTCAGTAAGATATGTATATATAATAAATAAATCCATTTATTTGTCAATGATGTGGTAAATTAATCACAAGTCACTTGAAAACAGTTTTAAAATGTTTAATTATTTTACAATATTACTGTTTTACTATGTTTTTGATCAAATAAATGCAGAAAGACATACATAACAGACTTAAAAAAAACATTTAATAATTTTACCGACCCCAAATCTTGAATTGTAGAATATGTTATCCAATTAACAAATTCAGTATATGTCATAAATAATATATAAATATTAATTTCAAAAAACGTGTTTAGTCTCAGGACATGATTTAAATGAATTACAAAACCTTTGGATTTGTTTCGAATGCCTTTAAAGATATCTATCTTTACTGGTTAATGTGAAAATAAAATTATAAGTGCATAAAGCATTATTATTTCTTGGTGTAAATGAAATACATTGCATACTACCAATATACATGATCAATGATTTAACCAAATGTCTGTGGTGGTTGTGATTGGTATGCGTTATGTACTATTTCGTGGCAATACATTAATAATATGGTATATATCCATTCATAATTTGTAATATATCCACATCAACCTCTGTGTTTCGCTGTTCTTGTGCTCCACACGGGATCATTTTCTGTTTGTCGCAGAAGGTGACAGCAGGTGGAGCGCGCACTACACTACCCGTCATCCCGCGTGCAGATCGCTCATGCATATTTATGAGTCGTTTCTGCAGTGAGGCGGCTGGACATTATTGATGTATTGCTGAGGAGGTGGCAGTTTCTGCTCGGTGGAGGAAAAAAAGGGCCTGATTTAGTTTTCCAGAGCGCACCCGCCTTCGACCAGTCATCCGCCCGCTGCTCGCGCAACCAGCGTCTCGATGCAGTAGCTGCGCGCGCGTCACTAATGGCAACCTGCGCGCGAGAGGATGTGTGTGCGCCTTCTTGAGGGAAACCGAAAACCGAGTATAACTTTGGATTTAACCCTTATATCGAATAATTTGGGATATGATTAGGCGCGATTGTCTGAACCGAATGGATGCGGGAATGATGCCTCTCCGTGTCGGGAATTCCTTTCTGTGTCTCTTTGTAGCGTTGATGAGCTCAGTGGTTCATACCAGCATCTCACTGCCTCATTACGGTGAGGGTGTATTTTTATTACGTGTTTATTTATATATGTGTAATTTCATCACGAAATCAAATCATTATGATGTACTTTTATAATATTAGTGCCGTATTTTAATCATAGTAGCCTAATTATCCGTTCAGGTGATGTAAACAGACTTAGCGGTAAATGACAATGAGGCGTGATTTATCATTATTTACCTTGACTATTATGTTAAATTTCGTACGTTTAACTCAAAATGAAAATGTGTAATTGTTAAAAATAGGCTACTGTGTTTTTATTATTCTAGGAGACGCCTTGGTGAAGACAAGGGCTCGGCGTGATGACGCCAGGTTCCTCGGGAAGGAGAGCACGGTACCGGTTCGGTTGATGTACCGAATAGACGGAGACACTCAGACGCCTCATGATGTTCTGAACACACGGGTCCGAACGAGCTCTGACAGTAAACAGGTGTGTATGGTTTCATCTCGTGTTAGCATGCCATCTGTGTGTCCTATAGGGATGCTCTCTCTCCTCCCGTTGCCATTGGAGACGCGCTGCTCTTCAAATGATGTGTTTGTTTGTCTCTTTTACTCTCTTTCTGAGTATTGCAGTCTGACTTTGGGTGGTCTGAGAGCCGAGCACAGTTAATTCCAGTCATTTAAGGGGGATCTAATGAACCCAAACAACACATTTCTCCGGAAGATGCTGATGCTTAGGCCTCCTGAGGCATCTTGTGGCATCACAGCTTTGGAAACACAAAGGACACAGAAAGAACAAATGAGCAGCTCCTGTGTTGGAGCATTATCAGTCTAAATAAATAGTGCATTATTCTTTTTTACATTATTATATAGCACAGAAATGTCAGAAACCGATTACTGATATAACTCCACAACTGTTATTCAGCAAAACAATGCATTAGGGACTCAAAACCTGGGCCATGATGATAAAAGGAAAACAATAAACTGGCAAATGTACTTTGTATTTGGTTTCTCAGTTGAGCGTGTAATGCTATAAGAGGTTTATGGACTTGCTTTTTCTTTTGTTCTTGCTTTGCCTGGCCTGAAAGATAGTGATTAAGACTCTGAGAGTGAACTGATATCACATCAAGTCATATTAATTAGCTATCTAATGTTTGAAAGTAACACTACACATTTAAATATGTATATATATATCAGTGCTGTCAAATTAATTAATCGCGATCAATCGCATCTAATATAAAAGTTTGTTTACATAATATAAGGCCTAGTGTACTGTACTGTATGTGTTTGGGAGTGAAACCTCTGTAAAGCATTTTGTCCAACCCCGACTGCTCAGGTATTTAGTTAGTCGTTCATAATTTGCGTGACTGAATAATTCTCAGAGGCACAGACATGCAATCGCTCGTGGCCTCGTTGCTGTGATGAGTCTCTTTGACCGGTTAGAATATCTGTACATGTGGGCTTAACCCTTTGTCTGACTCTGACATGTGCAGCTGAGCTCTGTATAATTCAAGTAAAAGCTTTTTCATCATGCCAATGCATTGATCTAATCATTGTGGTGTTATATGATGCCACATTAGAGATTAGATTCGAAGCATGTGCCAATGAAATATATTTTTTCATACATTTAACTATGCTCAGGTCTGTTTTTAGCTCCACGCTTGACTAACAATCAGATCTTTTTGAAGATTGACGGTTTTATTTATAGATATATGCTGATGTCTGAAAAGAAAACAGAGAATCTTTTAGCTTGCTAATTTTAGATCTTCTTTATTTAACACACAATGCAGATCAGAAAAAAAATCGAGTCAAGCTGTTTTAGAGCGATAATATGATGAAACGGCGATCGATGATGCCACTGACATAATGGACGAAAAGCTGCAGCCCTCTCATCTTACACAGTTTCTAGAAAACACTCTGAATCTCTTTATTAGATTTGGTTTTAAAGAAACAAGTGATGAGAGTGTTATTGTGCATTTTGTTTCAGCCCATTCTCACTCCCAAGGCGTCACCTAACTGACGCCTTGGGAAGCATTTGGACATGCTTCAATATCTGACGCTTTAGGCGCCCTTTAGCGTCAGTTAGATGACGCCCTAGGATCGCGTGTACCCTACCCCCACCCCATACCTAAACCTAACCGCGTCCTCTAACTGACGCTTTCCTTTAGCGTCAGTTAGATGACGCCGTAGGATCGCGTCATGTAAGTGACGCTAAAGGGCGCCTAAAACGTCAAATATTGAAGCATGGTCAAAGGTGACGCCTTGGGGTGAGAATGCGTTGTTTGTTTAGACGTGATGCACACAAATCCACTCTCAATCAAGGGGCAGTATGTGGGTGTGTCTCAGGGAGGGTCACTTCATTCAGAAGGTCACTGATGGCTGAAGTGTTGAGGATCTCCCCCCTCCGTATTTCTTCCAACTCTTCGTTCTCCTTCCATTTATATTGATAACTATGCTTTGCTGGTTTAGGGAGAGGTGTGTTCCCTTGGGGATGTTAGACTCCCCTCACCTCCCTCATATGCTTCTATTTCTGCCCTCTCTCTCTCTCTCACACACACACACACACACACACACACACACCCACTCATGAGATACGAGAACAATGCGCCACAACCAAAATGGTTTTCTTTCCCCTGAGGGGGGTGTTATACGGCCCTGGCCATATGGGCCCCAAGCAGGCAGTGAATTAACCATCAGCGAACACACACACACCCACACAGCCACCAGTCCTGCACATCAAAATGTGGATGATGAATAATAAAAAAAAAACAATTAGCACATCTAATTTTACTTTTCTCTCCCTAAACACTGAATAATGGCACCTTGAGATTTTTTTTAAATAAAATACATTTATTCAGCAAGGATGCATTAAATTGATCAAAAAGTGACAGTAAAGATATTTATAATGTAAAAAAGATTTCTAATTGTTTGAATAGAATGTTCAAAAGAACATCATGTGTTCAACATTGTAAAAGAATACTGAAAGTGATGTTTCTTGAGGAGCAAATCATCATATTAGAAGGATTGCTGAAGAATCATGTGACACTGAAGACTTTCTCTCCCAAAACACCAAATATGTGGTTTTTGTTATTACAGCTGATACTGTATGTTGCACCCTGATATATAAAAATGACCAATTCTCATCTTGTTTTGTCTCTTTTACAGAACCACGTGGCTCAGGCTAGCTTCCAGGTTGAGGCCTTCGGAAAGACCTTTGTTTTAGACGTGGAACTGAACCAGTGAGTATCTACTTCCAGGGTGTTGAGTTCGGAAATGCACTGGAAAAATGCAGTGTGTGTGTGTTACTGAAGTGTGTGAGGTATGACTAATACCCATCAGATCTATTTGCAAAGGGTTTAATGTTGCTTCTGATGGACTGCATGATCATAATGGCTGTTGATTTATGCTGAAGGAATGTGAAAGAACTGACCACTCTATCGATCATGGCATCCGCCACTCTCTCTCGCTCTCTCTCTCTCTTTGCCAGGATTCCCTATAATACACGTTGTCTCAATCCTGATAAATATCACTATTGTTCTAATTTCTGGTCCTGTAGGCTATTGTGGCATTTGACACATGCTACATGCTGTCTCGTAAAAATAGGCCCAGGTCGCATTCCACCCTGAAAATAAACAAGAAAAATATTTTATATAAATAAAATTAAGCCTTTTTTAGGACTATAACTTTTGTTGTTGTTGTTGCATTTTTACGTTATTTGTAGTGAGCCATTGAGCCCAAATCCTCATTACCATAATGAGTTTTTACTTAGCAATTTCCAATATTCTCATTTGTGACTAACAGTAGATTATGGTCCATTGCTGTAATATCAATGATTTTTGTATTTAAATCAACATAAATTAAAGGCAGCATATACAGTATATATTGCCATGATGAAGAAATACTATAATTTGAATTGTCAATCCTTTTTTGCATTATACTAACCACATTTTTTTATTATTATTTTTATTTTTTTGTTATTGTAATAAGAATTATGTTGGAATTCATTATAAAGCATAAATAATACATTTTGAATAATGAAATCAAAAAAAGCAAAAAATATTTATCGTCCTTAAACTATTTCTTATTTCTTTTTGCCGATTTTGGGCTGAAATATGAGCTGGCGTGTTCTTAACGAGTTTTGTGAGACTCACCCTGTTGCTGTAATCAGTATTTTATCTTTAGAAGGTGATTTGATTTTACTGGGGAGTGCTCATTTACAAAACTGACCTTCAATTGGTTTATTTTTAAGTGTCTTATTGTCTTGTACAGATGCTCATTGTGTAAATAATTTCTTTGAGTCTGCACCAAAATCAGTCATAACCTAATTTTTGTCATATTCATCATATACATTAAATCCATTAACTCTTACTGTTACAACCACAATGGCCGTTGTACTTTAAACTGGTGCCAGACAGTCAAGACTCAGCAGATTTGATCTCATTATAATAACGCATCATGAATATTTCAGTGTTCTCCCTCAGTGTCTGTGTTTTTCTCCTAAAACATCTTGGTGAAGAGAAAATCTGGCTTTAACACATACTCCCTATGTGTTTCTGTCAAGCCCTTTGTCAATGGAGTAGTGTGTTTTTGTGTGAATTCGAATGTAGTTCTACCCAGGGTTATTATCGTTACCTAAAACTAAAACAATAAAAACATTACTTGAAATAAAATAAACATTTTATTTTAGCTAGTAGCCAAGGAAACATTTCTCATTTTTGTTTAGCATTAAAGGACTAAAACAAATAAAATAAAATAAAACTTAAAAAATACTATATAGACGTGTTTAAGGTCGGCATGAGATGGAAGTTGTGATAGTCTTGTCTTCCCTATTGTGACGGATATCTGAGTAAAACTGCTTGTCGAACAAGAAAAAATGTTGGGTGGGACTTGATTTTGTCCATCAGTAATTGATTGGATGGTTGTGGTTTGCTATTACTGTGATCTCATTTGAGTGACAGGTTGCCCCGCCCTCACGCCAGTAAACACATCATCAGTGAAGAGAAGAGATGTCACTGCAAGTTATTTTGATTTAAGATTAGTAGGGCACATGAATTAAAAGGGAATCAGGCGCATTGATAAATCATTTATAAAAAATGCAATAGGCTATTTCATAAAAAATAACAATAGTCAATTTTGATTTCATGTTGACTTTAAAAATATATATATATATAAACGACAAAAACACTCAACAAAATTTCTAAAACCTTCAAATGAAAACAGAATATATATATATATATATATATAAATAATAAATCTAATTTATAATTATAACAAAAACAATAATAGTTTATCAATGATGCTAAAATAACACAGGTTCTACCTCAGTGAAGAGTCACTGTATTTGAGTATGAATATCAAAGAACGAACTTTAGGCCTTTAGGGCATCCTTTCCCCATTTATATGATGTCCACCTTAAGTATAGACCTGATTATTCGAACCATGTTTCTAACTCCTCAGTCACCCAAATCGAACACGATGATTTTGCAAATGCATAAATAGACATTGAGGTGTGTTTTGGAGACAAACTCTTTTGGAGCACCCTACATGGGCAACAACTCTTTGTGTCACATATTGCCAAGTTAACACTAAATTAAAAATACAGAGCACAAAAATAAGGGGGAAAACATTTTTTTGATTGATCGAATATTGAATAATAATTTAAACTTCGTCCTCTTTTCACAAGTAGTCGCAGTACATTATGGGATTGCAATCTCCACTAAGTCTACATGCAATGCCAGCTTAGAAGTTTTCTAATGGTGTTCAGCATAATGGTGCTGCCTACCCTTCTAAACAGCCGTCGCGTCAGGAGCGCACCTCTGATACCTTAAAATCATGTCTGCGTAGGCTGCTTACTAGGTGTTGGATTAGAGCCATTGATTCAGGTTATTATATCAGTCAATGCTCGCTCTCTCTCTCTCTCTCTCCCTCTGTCATGTGGCTGGTCTTGTTCAGTACAATATATGTTCTGCTTTAATGGGTTCTGACTGGATTGATTTGATTGCCTCTGTCCCTCTGAAATAGTGCTGTGATATAGAGAAACACAAAAGTGTGTGGTGTGTTGTGTTGTTCCATTTGCTCTTCTACACCCATGGAGAGCTGGCAGATAGATCCTGAATGACTTGCGTCCAGATTACTTTCTTGCTTTCTCTACCAAGGAAACCAATTCATTCTTTAATTCTCATGCTCTCACCTCTCTCTGTGAATTTCTAAAGGTTTGGGATTTTCTTAACGTGTGTGTGTGTGTGTGTGGATTTGGCTTTTCTCTGGCCTCCAGCTGAGACCTACTTCCCTAAAAGTTTTTTTTTTTTTTGCGTTGTGATCATTGTTCATCAACTTTAGTTAGCAATCTCAACTCATCTGAGTGACATATTTGTATCATATTTCACAACAAAAAGGCTTGTTTAGCTTGTATCGTTTTATTGGGTACTTATTGCGTAACCCCCCAAATAACACAAACTGGCTTGCCCCCTGCACCCTCTCACACACTCTGAATAATGAATGAGTGTGTTTGATTAAAGCGGTTGGAGCAAATGGGTTTTCTGCTTTTCAATCACGCTGTGTCGTCGTGACAACAGACCATGTGGCAGAAAGGAAACATTAAAATCAGTCAGATATGGTTGAAGCTAGGGGGGTGGGAACTCTGAACAGATAACAAACTATCACAAGCTCACCTTTGAATCAAACTTTGATTCACTACAGATAAATCATGCTTATTATATCAGATCTCTGATAAATGTATGTACATTTTTGTCTAGGTTTCCAGTACCCTCATCTTAAAACAAAATTTCCATGAAACATTAGCTCTTGTTGTCAAAGAATGTGTCTTGAATGTCTATTATTTATTATATGAATTACATATTAAACTATTCTAAAGTGATAGTGAAGACATTTATAATGTTACAAAATATTTCTGTTCCATGTTATTTTTTAACTTTGTTGGAGCTTTTTACTTTTTACTTTTTTTTTTTTTAATTAAAACAGTTATTTTAAATTGTTATAATATTTACCTTTTTTTTTTTTTTACAGATTTAAAAAAAATGTTACTGATGTTTGGTGGGGTTAAGTATACATAGAGGTGCATATGTCAGTATTTACATAGGCCTATTAGTTAATATATTAGTGTAACAGTAACTAGTTTCTTACCGTACCCATTTAAATCCAAGACATATATCTTTCTCACACTCTCAAATATGCAGAAAATATTGTATGTGAGACAATTATTACAACAATTAAAATTATTGTGTATACATTATACATTATTTATAAATTTTTTGTATGAATCTCAAATCAAAAATTGTCTGTGAATGACACCTACAGTCTCCAGGCAGGATCTGATTCAGCAAAATACTGTATAAGAGTCCCTGTGTCATCTGCCATCTGCTATGAGCTTCTGTTTGACCCTGTCAGCACACACATGACGTCCCATCAGATCAAACCTGTGACAGGACATGTCTATTGAGACACTGGTGTGTGTCAAACCTATCCTGAATCAGTTGGATTCCTGTTGAGTGCGCTCATATGATTGTTTTTGTTGTGCAGTTTATAGTAATGTCACTGTTGCCAAAAAAATGTAATACATTGCCCAGCCAAAAAAAAAATAAAGGTTGCTGTTTGGATTTAAATAGGCAAATGCAAAGATCTTGACCGTATTTTAATGCACCTCTTGATGGAAATAACATCACAGCATTTATTTCCATCAAGAGGTGCATACATTTTTGGTCAAGATCTTGTATTTCCAATGCAAGAGTCCAGCACAGTCTTCTCCAGCACATCCCAAAGACTCTCAATGAATTTAATGTCTGGACTCAATTCATGTGTGAAAATGATTCTTCATGCTCCCTCACAACCATTCTTTCACAATTTTAGCCTGATGAATCTTGACATTTTCATAGTGGAATATGGCCACGGCCTTTCTACACACTTAGGCTTAGAACAGTTGCCAAACATATAACATGCTAGAAACATAATAATCACTGCAATGATGATCAAATAATAGACTCTTAAGCATTTGCATGTTGTTGTTTTTTTTTGTTTTTTTGGGCTTGGCAGTATATTTCCATGTGCTTGCAGTTCTAAATCAAGTTCAAACACAGTGGTTTCTTTTAGAGACACACACACACACACACCTCTGAAGGAACACTTCATGCATTGCCATTATTCATCATCATGTCAACTTTCTTCAGCATGTATAAAAAGAGTCCAAATACACACATCCAAACACTCTCAATGGTTTAATTCA